GTGATCCTTATTTTAATAGGAGTACTCCTATTCGTGTTTCAATCCCTCTATCCCTACAGTGTCAAAAAATGATGCCTGAGACAATGTTTATGTTAGTGGCCACAATTTCTGGATGGGCGGTTTGGGGGTGATTGGGTTTTACTTTTTTCTTTGTATTGTTCTTAGTTATTTTAGTTATTCATAATGAGCACAGAGTGCTTGCTAAAAATAGAATAGGTTTTTCTTTAAGCATGCACAAGAGCGTGCACACACACACACCCTTTCTCTCTCTCTCTTCTCTCTCTCTCTCTCTCTCTCTCTCTCTCTCCATATACACACACACACTCACAGAAGAGGCAAATGCCTGAAGAGGTTTACAGTGATTAATTCCCACAGAATTCAGATAGTGATTAGATAATTACTTTTCTTTGTGTACTGTCCTCCCTTTTAGAAATGTTTAAACCATGTTAAGTTATTTTAACAGTTAACAATGTTAACTAATTTAATAGTTTAACAGAACAGTAGAGAAAGAAAACACTGCCCTCCACTTCCATCGCAGTCTTCCTTTCAGTCTCATGGGCACCTATTCACATCAGTCCGCAGAACATTTGTTTAGGTTCCTGGGACACTTCACAGGTCTTATTCTATCGCCACATTGAGACTTCCCACACTGCTGGGGATTGAGCCCAGGGCCTCACACATGCCACCACATTTTTTTAATGGCTACATTATATTGCATTGCATGTGTACTATTTTAAATTTCTGATAGATTATCTATCACAAAGGGGACATTATTGTAAAGCATCTTTGTGTAGCTGTATTGGTGGTGCTGGGGATCCAACCCAGGGCTTTGAACATGCTTAGCAAGTGCTCTTCCACTGAGCTGTATACCCACCCCCTGGATACATCTGTAGCATTAATTCCTGGAGGTGGAATTACCTGATCAGTAAGTGTGACCTTTACATTTCATTTAAAATTTTTTTAACTCATTTTAATTTCTTTGTTTATCAAATTCTTTTTCGTTTAAGAAACATCTATAAGTAACTAATGTCTCATTTACACTGAAAGGGATGATCATGAAAAGTAAGATTTCCCTGTCCCATCCTAAGAGAAAAAGTATCTTTAACTAATTTTAACAATTTCCTCTGGTGTCTATCTCTAAAAAATAAAAAGCTTATCATGACATTTGTTAATTGGTCAGTTTTAGACTTTCTCCTATAGTAGATAAGGATTTATGGTCATATCACTATTTTGGTTCAACTAATGAAGTGTACATTATAAAAATTATGGAAACATTGCCCACTGCCAAGCCAAATACTTTACCACAAGCACAGCTTCCTTCTAACACAAATTTCTTTTTTCTGGAATCTCTAATCACCACTCTCCCTCTACAACCACTCTTGATCATTTTTTCTTGGACCTCAGGTACACAGGATTGGGGAATGGTGATCCCGGCATCAGATCACAATTTCAATACTAGTTCATACAAAAGACCTCACACATACATTTTCTTACTATCCATGAGTGAGATACCGATATAATTCTCTGTTTATTTGCTTTTTCCCCCAGATTCTTTATTCCATCGAGAATTGTATTATGTACTCCTTTATCCCCACACCCTTTCATTTTTTCTCTGGTTGAGACTAATTAATCTCTGATCCAACCAATTTCATTTTAAATAAATTGAACTAGGTGTTCTCTGGTGGAATAAAGAAAAACCAGTTTTGACAAATTTAGGAACTCACTTTTAAGCTCTCATGAACAGTTGGTCTTTTAGAAATATTAGTTAAAAGTAATACAAGAGAAACTTCAGAAGGACAGAAGAGTTTTATAACATCCCATGTTCTCAAGAGGACCATGTGGAATCTAGAGACACATGGTGTCTGTTATGTAGGCACATCCCACATTGCAGGGAATGTCATCTTGCTTAGTTCAGAAAACAGGCTACCAGTGACTGAGAAAAAGTTATTTTATCTAATCATTCAGTAATTCTTACTTTATGAATGACAGAGTTAAAAAGATCATACAGCTAGCTATGGTAAAATTAAAAGTCAAGACAGATTTGACTTAAAGTTTATATTCTTTCCACTCTAGCCTACTTTCTGGACTGTGATCACCCAACCTCACTTCTTTTTTTTTAAATTGTTTTATTATTCATATGTGCATACAAGGCTTGGGTCATTTCTCCCCCCTGCCCCTACCCCCTCCCTTACCACCCACTCTGCCCCCTCCCTCTCCCCCCCACCCCCTCAATACCCAGCAGAAACTATTTTGCCCTTATTTCTAATTTTGTTGTAGAGAGAGTATAAGCAATAATAGGAAGGACCAAGTGTTCCTGGTTGAGATAAGAATAGCTATACAGGGAGTTGACTCACATTAATTTCCTGTGCGTGGGTGTTGCCTTCTAGGTTAATTCTTTTTGATCTCACCTTTTCTCTAGTACCTGTTCCCCTTTTCCTATTGGCCTCAGTTGCTTTTAAGGTATCTGCTTTAGTTTCTCTGCTTTAAGGGCAACAAATGCTAGCTAATTTTTTAGGTGTCTTACCTATCCTCACCCCTCCCTTGTGTGCTAAAACTTTTATCATGTGCTCAAAGTCCAATCTCCTTGTTGTGTTTGCCCTTGATCTAATGCCCACATATGAGGGAGAACATACGATTTTTGGTCTTTTGGGCCAGGCTAACCTCACTCAGAATGATGTTCTCCAATTCCATCCATTTACCATCGAATGATAACATTTCATTCTTCTTCATGGCTGCATAAAATTCCATTGTGTATAGATACCACATTTTCTTAATCCATTCGTCAGTGGTGGGGCATCTTGGCTGTTTCCATAACTTGGCTATTGTGAATAGTGCCTCAATAAGCATGGGTGTGCAGGTGCCTCTGGAGTAACCTGTGTCACAGTCTTTTGGGTATATCCCCAAGAGTGCCAACCTCACTTCTTGTCTTGTATTTGTTTTCTCTCTTAGTGGATGAATGTTCGTCTGACTACACAATTGTGCTTCCTGTGATTGGAGCCATCGTGGTTGGCCTCTGCATTGTGGGTCTGGGTGTCTATATAATCCGCCTAAGGCGTCAACCTTCTGGATACCAGAGAATCTAATTGGTGCTCAGTGGAAATGAAAATAATGGAGTTTAGAGAATTCTCTCATCACTTCCTTGATGTGGGGATTTCCCTTAAAGTGTGGTCCTTTGACCCATATAAACCACCATCTTCCACTAAAACCAAGTGAGCCATTTGTGATTTCACTTCAAGCAACGCATCAGTGTCCAAATATTTTTTGTCCATCTTCTGAAAGACTTAGTGAGCTGTTTAAGAGTATTCTCTACAGAATATTTTAACCAAAGTCAACATTTGAGATACATTGAATTAAGGTAGTATATATAAAGTAGCATGGTATCTCCAAATTATAAACCAAACTGTCAATTGTAATTAATGCTGTCTGTGTTTGCATTAGAGTTTTTATTTTACCCTTGATCTTTTCAGTTAAAAAATGCCTTGACTGGGTGTTATGGCCCACACCTGTGATCCCAGCTACACGAGGCAGAGGAAGGTAAAAAGATTGTGGTGGTTCCAGGCCAGCTGTCCCTGTGCAAAAAGCATGATTCCATCTGAAAAATAACCTAAGACAAAAAGGCCTTGGGGTGTGGCTCAAGGGGTAGAGTGCTTGCCTAGTCGACGCGAAGACCTTAGTTCAATCCCTAACGCCACCAAAAACCACATAAAAAGTGCCTTGACTTTGTCTACCAAATGGATTTTCAATGCTTTTACCATTTGTGATTATTCGATGGACGTAGACTAGCATAGTTCTTACTTCCTTTTCCATTGAAATGTTTTTTTTTTTTAATCTTCAAAAAGAACAACATTATCTCAGGTTGTCTAGCTTTTTGATAAGGAGCAAAAAGAAAAACAAATCAGTTCCTTTTTTTTTTCATTTTTCTTTTATTATTCATATGTGCATACAAGGCTTGGGTCATTTTCCCCCTGCCTGCCACCCCCCTCCCTTACCCACTCCACCCTCTCCTTCTCCCCCCCCTCAATACCCAGCAGAAACTATTTTGCCCTTATCTCTAATTTTGTTGTAGAGAGAGTATAAGCAATAATAGGAAGGAACAAGGGTTTTTGCTGGTTGAGATAAGGATAGCTATACAGGGCATTGACTCACATTGATTTCCTGATCAGTTCCTTTTTTTTTATCTTGATGAGTTCTGCTACAGAATACTAAAGATGAAAGATTAGCTGTCTACAGACAACCTAATTAAATAATAAAAAGCAACAATAATCATGATCCTTAATCATGTGTGTCAGACACTAGGACAAGCATTTAATCCTCACAACTCCCAGATGAGTACACTCAGATGTCAGGGGAGAAATCCTTACATGTCATCCACCTAACAGGAAGCAGAGGCAGACTGGGCTCAGATCTTTGACTGTTTCTGGGCAGCAACTTTCCTAAAGAACAATGACACTCGGGCGTTGCCAAGCCTCCACCAGCATCCACTTCCATGTTTACAGGAAATGGATTTTAGTCAAGAATCATGAGACAAGAAGTGTAACAGCCCCGTTTTTTAACGTCCCCCATGGCCTTGAAGGAGACTGGAGGGCTCTGTAAAATGAGTGTGCTTCTTACTTTTATTGGGGCATTTAGCTATGGGCTTTAAAAAGATGAACGGAAAGGAATAGAACTTTTCATGGTTTTTGTTTTTTTGTGGTTTGAAAACTCGGGCCTAACACCTTTCAGGTTCACGTCTGCTCAGCCCTTTCTTTGTATGGGTCTCGAGATAGGGTCTCAAGAACTCTTTGCCCAGGCTGGCCTTTGAGCTGGCAAATTCCTTCTAATCTCTGCCTCCTGAGTAGCTCGGTTATAGGTGTGAGACACTGGCCACCCAATTTCAAGGTATCTTTTATTTTTTCAAAAAAAGGAGAAGTTCAATCGTAAGGATGGACTGTTTCTTTCTTGGATGTCGATCGCCCTCTTGTGATAAATTTACTGATTTCCTGCGCTTTACAGTCACATACTTGGTTAACTCCTCTGCAGGAGCAACTGGCCTAAAATTGTATTCCTGCTGGATTCTGCTGCTAAAGAAAGGACTTACGTCAGGGTACTCGCAGCAAAGACCCCGTAATCCAGCACCTTTAGGAAAGGGACAGTTCAATGTCAGCCTATGCAACTACTGATTTTCCTCCTGGATACCCTTAATGAAATCAGTGGGGAACTCAAGATCCTGACTTTAATTTAATAAAATATTGAATTATATAAAAGCTTTTGTAAGTAAAAACTTATTTTTGTAGATACATTTGGTGTCATTTCTTGCAGTCACTTTTCGTACTATAATAAATTTCTTTATAATCTTCTTAGTGGGCAGCCTTATATAGAGGTTTTGTGGCTTGACTCAGTACAATCCAGCCATCTTTCCTATAAATAATTGGCATTTTTATTCTATTCTGTATCACCATGTTATTTACTAGTAAGAGGACTCTCAGTGGTAGAAAAGAATTTCCTGAGAAGATCACCACATTACAGTGAGCAGACTAAATCTCTCTCACTTCATCAGACTCAATGGCTGCATTGCTGGCTTCCAAAAGTGCTATCATAATTTTCCCATTCATTTCTGAGAGCCAGACACTTTAGTAGAGGCTCAGGTAAATGAGAAGAGGTCCTATATTAGTTATATATAGTGGGGTGTGTGTGTGTGTGTGTGTGTGTGTGAGAGAGAGAGAGAGAAGAGAGAGAGAGAGCGAGAGAGAGAGAAGTCTTTTATAACCTAATTACAGAAATGAAGTAATGGCATACCATCTGCTATAGTTTGTATATTGACTGTCCCCAAAGGTCAACGCATTGGTCCCTAGCCTGGTGCTATTGGGAGTTACTATTGACCTTTAGGAGGCAAGGCCTCATTGAAGGTCTTTGGATCATTGAGGGCATCTCCTGGAAAGGAAATGTGGGACACTGGCACCTTCCTGTCTCTCTCTTTGCTTCCTGGTTCATGAGATGAGCAATTTTCTCCCTATACATACACATGCTCCCACCATCATATTCCACCTCATCAGAGGCCTAAAACAATGGGGTCACCCCATCTTGAACTGAACTTCTAAAACTGTGAGCCAAAATAAACATTTTCTCTTATAAGTTAATGTTCTCAGGCATTTTGGTTAGCAGTAAGGAATCTGACTAACAACAGCTCACTGTCTTTGTATCTATTTGGTCACACAGAAACAGGCCTGGTAACAGTGTGGGAGGGAAGCGACACGTAAGTGTGGACTACAGAGAGAAAGGAACATTGAGGACATCTTGAATGCTGGCTAAAGTATTCAAGTGGCGACCTGTCAAGTGCACACTGTTGGAACTAGGCCTTGCTTTTTCTTTGGGAACTCAAGGAATACATTTCAATGCACATAGTAAAATATACCCACTAAGTAGGAACCTGTACAAAGGGTGATGAAGAGCAAGGCCCATTCACCTGCCTTCCAACTTGTCCCAGGTGTCCCACCTTCCCAGGAGAGCAGCTCTCCCACCCCCTGATAGGATAGCCAAATTCTCAACCTCCAGGAAGGCTGCTATTGCCAGTATTCTACAGTGCTAATGTCTGGTTGGGTTCACTTTTTTTAATTAGGCAGTGACCAGGCTGGCCCTATTGCTCATAAGTACTCCTACCTTTGTTTTTCCTTCACAGCTTTTCCTGGATCGTGGGATCCTGGATCCACTGGCTCCTCCCTCTGCACTCCTGTTACAGGTTCTCAGCTAACCTCAGGCTCACAGCACATTTGAAGGCCTTGAAGATCTGAGAATACAGATACAGAAGCCACCTTCCTGACCCAAACTCTTGGTTCTGTGGAATGATTACTGAGAGGTTTCCCTCTGCTCATTATGTTAAAAGAAGCCTAAACTATAGAAAAGGATGGAAAAAGGCCTGTGCCAAGGAAAGAAGAGTTTCTGTCTATGACACCCTGGTCCCTCCCTGATTATCAAATGCCTTCACTCTTGCCTGGGTGCTTCTAAGAGAATTTTCCAATTTTGGACAGTGGTGGCAGGAAATTAAAAGAGGTTGTAAAAGTAGTTTTTGCCCTGTTTTTTATTTTGTTTTTAAACTTTGCCATTTTTTAAAAGAAGTTGACTATGGACAAAAACAGTTAAGAAATAAACTCTGCTGTCAATTCCCTAATTTCTTTTGCTTTCCCCAAAATTACCTCTGGTTGTCCTGGAAAACTTTCTTAAGTGTGGTACTAGTTGGTTTTCCTACTACTCTAGCAAAAATGCGGAGGCTGGCTACTTTTATAAAACAGAGGTTCATTTAGCTCACAGTTTTGGAGGTGGAACTCTAAGGTTGGGCAGTTCCATTGGTTATGGAACTCTTGATGAAGGCAAGACAGCATCATAGCAAGAAAGCATGTGTGGAAAGCAGCAGATGAATATCAAAAACAGGATCCAAAGAATGGTTCTGGGTCAGGCTTGGGCCTTATAACTACTTCTCATGAGAACAAACCTTTAGACTCTATGAGAACTACTATAATCCTTCAGAGGGCAAAGCTCCAGTGACCTAAGATTTTAACCATTAGGCCCCACCTCTAAAGATCCATACCACTCCTACCATCTCCCAACACTAAGGACCAAGTCTTCACACATGAGTCCTTAGAGGAAACACACAAACCAACATGAAACCATGATCAATCCTTTCTTATGTTTTTAATTTCTTCGCATTTCTCTATGACCCTACAACCCCACCCAACTTGCCTTTCAGCAGCTCCCCACCACATTTTATTAAGTAGTTGTTATCATATGCTAGCATCTGATTGGGGAGTTACTTTTATCCTTTCCAAGATCAACTTACATTTTGTCAAAGACACTACCTTCGTCCAAAAGAGAAAGCTCAGAGGAATAGGTTGAAAGCCTGAGCAGAATTATCTAGTCTAGAGAAGATCAAGGCAGCAGGTCTTCTGGCCTCTATCAGGTCCCACTGCCGTGTCCAGAGACTTCTGATCGCAACTTCACAGAAAGATGCTCTGATTGTTAAGGCATGTTTTTCACAAGCTTTTAACTCTAAATTGTCTGATAAATCTAGTCAGGATAGTTAAAAAAAGAAAGCTATTAACCGTCAATTTTCTTTCAAGAATAGGTTGGCCTGCTATGTAAACTATCAAAATGTGTCTGCCTTATTAATATGTTAATAAAATCATTTAAAAAAAGAGCTAATGGATGTCCTGAATGATAGGCAGAATTTTGTAATAGACATTTTCATTACCAAACTTTCTAGTTTCTATCTTCCTTAACTTCTCTTATGATTTGAAACTGTTGCACTAAGCTTTCCTTGAAACTCTTATCTATGACCTCTGAACCTATCAACAACTCAGACTCTGCTTCCTGCTACTCATAAACATAAAATTTTTCCCAAAAAGTTTTGTCCTTACTAAGGAAGTCTACTCTCTGTGGGTCCTCCTGCCTGCCTCCAGTTTGCTAAATGTAGGCCTACAGCAGTCAGAGATTTCAGAAAACAGAACCAATACAACTAGCTAGCTCTAGAGGTCTATAGCTCTAACTATAGATAGATATAGGCTAGATAGCTAGACTGTATAGCTATCAATATCCTTCCTTATCTAAGAAGATAGGTGTCTGGAAAGTCACCCAAATGCTGTAGTCTTCAGGCAGAATTACCTTTTTTTTTTTTTTTATTCATATGTGCATACAAGGCTTGGTTTATTTCTCCCCCTGCCCCCACCCCCTCCCTTACCACCCACTCCCCCCTCCCTCCCCCCTCAATACCCAGCAGAAACTATTTTGCCCTTATCTCTAATTTTGTTGTAGAGAGAGTATAAGCAATAATAGGAAGGAACAAGGGTTTTGCTGGTTGAGATAAGGATAGCTATACAGGGCATTGACTCACATTGATTTCCTGTGCGTGGGTGTTACCTTCTAGGTTAATTCTTTTTAATCTAACCTTTTCTCTAGTTCCTGGTCCCCTTTTCCTATTGGCCTCAGTTGCTTTAAGGTATCTGCTTTAGTTTCTCTGCATTGAGGGCAACAAATGCTAGCTAGTTTTTTAGGTGTCTTACCTATCCTCACCCCTCCCTTGTGTGCTCTCGCTTTTATCATGTGCTCATAGTCCAATCCCCTTGTTGTGTTTGCCCTTGATCTAATGTCCACATATGAGGGAGAACATACGATTTTTGGTCTTTTGGCCAGGCTAACCTCACTCAGAATGATGTTCTCCAATTCCATCCATTTACCAGCGAATGATAACATTTCGTTCTTCTTCATGGCTGCATAAAATTCCATTGTGTATAGATACCACATTTTCTTAATCCATTCGTCAGTGGTGGGGCATCTTGGCTGTTTCCATAACTTGGCTATTGTGAATAGTGCCGAAATAAACATGGGTGTGCAGGTGCCTCTGGAGTAACAGTCTTTTGGGTATATCCCCAAGAGTGGTATTGCTGGATCAAATGGTAGATCGATGTCCAGCTTTTTAAGTAGCCTCCAAATTTTTTTCCAGAGTGGTTGTACTAGTCTACATTCCCACCAACAGTGTAAGAGACCTGTTGTTGGTGGTGTTGCTGTGAGGTGGAGGTGGAATCTTAGTGTGGTTTTAATTTGCATTTCCTTTATTGCTAGAGATGGTGAGCATTTTTTCATGTGTTTTCTGGCCATTTGAATTTCTTCTTTTGAGAAAGTTCTGTTTAGTTCACTGCCCATTTCTTTATTGGTTCATTAGTTTTGGGAGAATTTAGTTTTTTAAGTTCCCTGTATATTCTGGTTATCAGTCCTTTGTCTGATGTATAGTTGGCAAATATTTTCTCCCACTCTGTGGGTGTTCTCTTCAGTTTAGAGACCATTTCTTTTGATGAACAGAAGCTTTTTAGTTTTATGAGGTCCCATTTATCTATGCTATCTCTTAGTTGCTGTGCTGCTGGGGTTTTCATTGAGAAAGTTCTTACCTATACCTACTAACTCCAGAGTATTTCCTACTCTTTCTTGTATCAACTTAAGAGTTTGGGGTCTGATATTAAGATCCTTGATCCATTTTGAGTTAATCTTGGTATAGGGTGATATACATGGATCTAGTTTCAGTTTTTTGCAGACTGCTAACCAGTTTTCCCAGCAGTTTTTGTTGAAGAGGCTGCTATTTCTCCATCGTATAT